CAGTTTGTCAGCACAAGAGCTTGGTAGGGCATAGTGCACATTTGTTATGGCAGGTTTTTAATTACATCTATGATACAGCAGTGATAGGATTCCATATGTGAGAGTAATGCAGCTTATGCACTGGTACATCAGAGTTGAAACAAATTTAGGTCTTTCTCACAGCCGAGAATCTGATCCCTGGTGAGATTTTACTAAAATGTCTATGCTATGAAAATTACCATTAGAATAGTTATTTTGCATAAAGGTACTTTTCTCTCCCTCCTAACCCTGGAGCTCAGGACGTTACTAAACTGTCAGTGAACTTTCAGGAGAAGCAGACCATGTGTTGACCTGCGTAAAACACACGAAACCTTGAAAATATTAGAAGGTTGCGGACTTTGGAACTGTGAACCTCAGCTGGAACTTCCTGCCTCCTGCTTTCCCGGTTAGGAGGCATCAGGGCGAGTTTTGTGCTGCGTGGCGTGCGGCACGTCTGATCACAACTGACAGATGGCTTGGGAAGCAGGCAGGAAGGATGGACGCTTCATCTGCCCCGAAATATGACTGTGAAAGAGTTTCTAACTAAGGGAAGCAAGTGAAATTTGGTATGGGTAAGATGATTTGTTTGTAATATAATGTTCATAATTTAATATCTGTAAGTGACAACAAACCTGTGTGTGTGTTTGTAAATTTTGGGAAGCTGATTTGTAAATTCTGGGATACTGATCAGTTCAGTATCCCTACAGTAGGAGCATCATTAAAAATAATGTAACTTTCTGAGCAGTGTTCTGTACCAATCCTTAATTATATAAATTGCATGCTGTTCATATTACGCACTTGTTTACATTCAGTAAGTACCAGTTTAGTTTCATCTAGATAAAATGCCTGTAATAAGGCCATCTCACTGCAGTCTGCTCACTGCAAAGCTTGCAGTCACAGCACACTCAGATCATGGCACTCAGACTAGCTGTGCACAGCTCCCAATGCTTCTAAGGACCTATTGCCAGTGCTCACCAGTCGAGGATCTCATTGCTATTTTTAGGCTACAGAATGACTTCAGAGAAGATCTTTTCTTTGAATTCATTAATAGATGTCCTATGAAGTTCTCCTCTCCCCTTTCTCTCTCTACCCCACTTCCTTGCCATGTGCCCGGGCAGCCAGGAGGGTCAGCCATGTCCCAGGGGGCATCAGGCACAGCATCACCAGCTGGGCAAGGGATGGGATTGTCCTGCTCTGCTCTGCACTTGGGCAGCCTCACCTGCAATATCGGGGCAGTTTTGGGCACCACGATGTAAGAAAATATTGAGCCATTAGAGAGTGTCCAAAGAAGGGCAACAAAGATGGTGAAGGGTCTGGAGGGAAAGCCATATGAGGAGCAGCTGAGGGCACTTGATGTGTTCAGCTGGAGAAGAGGAGACTGAGGGAAGACCTCATTGCAGTTACAACTTCTTCGTGAGGGGCAGAGGAGGGGCAGGCACTGATCTCTGCTCTGTGGTGACCAGTGACAGGACCTGAGGGAATAGCCTGAAAGTGTGTCAAGGGAGGTTTAAGTTGGTTATTAGAAAAAGGTTCTTCCCCCAGAGGGTGGTTGGGCACTGGAACAGGCTCCCCAGGGCAGTGGTCACAAGTCCAAGCCTGACACAAGAAGAGTTTGGACAATGCTCTCAGGTACATGGTGTGACTCTTGGGGACGGTCCTGTGCAGGACTTAGGGTTAGACTTGGTGACCCTCGTGAGTCCCTTCCAACTCGGCATATTCTGTGATTCAGTGATTCCTTCCAATTATCTGAAGGTCAATTACTGAGACTCTTTCCTGTTCGTGCTGAACAACATGGTACTTTACTAATTGTCCCCAAAGACAATAGGAGTGTTGTCAGTGTAAGGCACTAATTGGTGCTGATGGAAGTGGTAGAAACCAAAGTAAGAGCTCCAAGTATTGTTCTCACTGACTTTGGAGGTCCCAGCCTGTTGACCATGATGTGTACATGAAAGTGTCCTTAAGACAGAGGGTTCTATGAAAAATTGGTTGTGAATTAGGATCCTGTGAGAAGAATAAAATAATAGGAATGCATTTCAGCTACTACACTATATCCTGTTCTGAAATAAAAATGCAGCTACAGGTATGGGCCTGTTTCAGTTCATGCTCCTGTAGGAGTGGGAGATTAACCTCAGCACAGAAGGCTGCAGGAGTCCACAGTAGAGAACAGGGGACACAGCACTGCCTTGCTCTGACCTGCCCCTGGTATTTGAAGCCCTGGCTCCTTTTCACAGTGTGTTCTTTGGCCAAAAATCCATGGGGAATAAAAGGTCTTTAGTAACTGACATAGTTTTCTGTCTTTCTTCTTGGAATGTCCTAATCTGGATATTGCCATCACCAAAAGTTTTGGCCAAGTGTGAAGAGGACGGGGTGTAGTCGAATGGAGGGAGGGATGATGGCAATCCAAGTTTGACTGTTTTTGTCTTCATGACATTATCAAATCTGGGAATTAGAGCTGACATCTGAACCTCAGCAATTTCTGAGGGACTAATCTCAGTCCCCTATAGAAGACTGGGAGGGAGCAAAACACCTGATGTGTGTTGGTCTTCTGCGGAAAGAACCAGCCTACAAAAGTCAAGGACACGAGAGTGACAGGGCAGGTAGACAGGAAACAGAATGCCCACACTATCAGACTCATCCTCTCATTCTTCCTGAGGTCAGGCCATGATTTGAATACCCAAAAATATGCTGAGATTTTAGCCTCAGGGAAGAAAATGACAAGGCATTGACCCAAAAAGGAAATGTTCAAGTCTTATAAATACTTTAGTTCTGTTTATCAAACAGAATCTTCAGCTTTTCCAAACAGAGTATTTTCATTTCATGCTTCCATTTTCTATATCACATGCACAGAGAAAACAACCAAAAATGTTCCAGAAGGATCAACAGTATATTGTGATAGGGAAACAATTCACTTTTCATGCTCCACTTTCCACCAGTGTCCCTGAGGCTTGCAAGTGAGGCCTCATGATGCTGTTACCATGAGCATGAGGAATCAGTAACAGAAGTCAGGTGTATTTTTGATGTAATGTTATTTATTAAAGAAATAATAATATTCTCTCCTCTCTGAGCGTATAAAAAATGAACACAACTTCCTTTTAAAGAAAACTTCACATCTGTCACTCCTATAAGCTCTATGTCCTAGTGCACTGAACCAGGGAGGTGGATGGAGTGATCAGAAAGGAAATGAACAGTTCAAAAATGGTTCTGGTGAAATGGATCACATGTTTTGGGTGAAACCAGGATTTGGGAGAACAGATATGTTATTGCAGGGATTTGTGGTTAATCAAAGCTATTGTGCTATGACATACAGCAAACCCCCACAGATTTACAGCTGTATTCACAGGACTGATTTTACTGATCTCCTTGTGAAATTACCTGGCTCTCTGCAGGTGTCTTCAAAATCTTGTGCTGATATTGCACAAACTTTTGCACATATTTAACTTAGCACTTATTATAGACAGTTCTGCTGAACTCACACTAGTTGCATGACTAGTGTCTATTTGCAAGTCTGTAATATCTATCCAAAATAGATGATCTTCTACATTCAGTTTTACACAACATGGTATGAATGTGTAGCAACCTGTTAGTCCAATGAAATTTAAGAAGAAAACGTCCACTATAAAGTGTTCTGTAGTGCTAAGAATTTATACTCTCATAAACAGGGACACAAATGAACATCTGTTTCCATAAATGAAGACAGTCAGAGTAACCTACAGTGACTGGTCAAAAAAAAAAAAGTAGGAATATGCAGCAATGCTGCCAGCCCTGGAGCTGTGTAATGCACACCCTGCCACGATGCACGTGTACACTGTGCCAGGTGTTCTTACTGAGCTGTCAAGAACAACTGGCTGCTCCTTCCACTCACCTTTGCTACATTATTCACCTGTTCAAAACACCTCTTTCTAAGGTATTTGTCCTCCAAATAAAGACCTTGATCCAACTACTTCTGAATCAGGGGCAAATGTACCATTGAATGGAGTAGGACTGAGTCTTAAATGTGTATGAGCAGTTCCATAAGAGAGCAGAAGAGACAGTAAAATACATTTACCCAAAACATCTGTGAATTTTACTAAGATTATAGGTGAAGGAGCATATATTTTTAAAAATATAAATAATACACCAAATAACTTCAAAGTTATAATTTGGCATGCATAATTCACATTGATACTAACTGATACAAACAAATTTCCAGCTTTCACAACGTCACGACAAAGAAAAAAAAATCACTAGAAAAGAAACATTATGAGCCCATGAGGGAAAAAAGTGTCTTCTAATGGATGACTAAGGAACACCATGTTAGTCAGCATGCAGGAGGGGAAGGGATATCCACCTGCATTAAATTAGTGGGGTTCTTTCACTGTCCTTATTTAACTAGAGGCTATCAATGTAACATTTGGCCAATAAACAGGATGATAATGACTATTCATCAGACTATAAAGCCTCTCACAGGGATATCATGCTGCTAGAGAATGTGTCTTATTTCACAGCTGGTCAATTATGAGTATGACCCAAAAAGGCTTATCCCAGCATCCTCTGGAGTTTCAAGTATTTTTCCCCACTATTTGCAATAACCATCAAATTGGCTTCTTAGTGGAAAAATTCTCTAGTGATTTACATCTTGAGATTCACATCAAATGAATAATACCACTACTATTAGCAATACTAGTAGTATTAGAAATAACATAATAAAGTAACAAATAAATAAAAGAATATTTGTGCAAAACCGGATCTTACGTATCTAAGAAACACTAATGAAACACCCTTTCACTTAAGATTGAATGTGCTGTGAGATTGCCATGCTGAATAAAACAAGGCATTGTTGAAGTAGCTGATTTATTGGCTTAAATGTGTGTTTACTTATCCCCAATGCCATGATGATCCACAAGGAGAAGCACAGCATAAAAGGGGTCTAATTCCTCTGTGGCATAATACAAGTGAAGAAGGAGCTATAAGGGATTAAATGAGATAAAAACTGTTGACTGCAAGCAGCAACACTAGTCATTGTAAAAGAGATGAGGGCTTCAAACAGGGCACGTGTTTGCCTCCAGATTAAAGGCTGTATTCTTTGAAAGGGTCTCCTTTTGGTCTGTAGAAAGGAAACAGGAGAAGGAGTCAGTCTTCATCTTAAATACTATCTCAGACAGGAAATGCAGCTTCTACAGAAAAGTTGAGGAACCTCTCATCAAAGCTTAGCTGAAGACATAAAATAAATAAATAAGAAGTCATTCCTTTGTTAGAAACTCTGTGAAAGGGCACCGAGCTCCTGCAGCAAGGCCTCTGATTGCTTTGTTCTTACAAGGGCTAAAACTGTTGTGGTTGGTCCCCAGGGACAGAGTTGTGTTGGATGCAGTCTCCTGTATTTTAAATGGTTAAAATGGCATTTTGTTCCTACAGGCAGATCCCAGATTGCCAAGCGTGTTCCTGCTGTGCTTCCCTCGCCTCATTACAGGAGGGGGTCATGCTCATGCTCCTGTGATTTAAACATACAAGTCTTTGCCCTTAAGGTCAGAGGAAAGAGAAGAGGGTCCAGCCAGCTCCTTGCCTTGCCTCCTGTGATGTTGGGCTGCATAGAACAGCTGGAGCTCAAAAAGCCAAAGTACATTTGCACCTTTAAGGGAGATGCAAATTATACCATTATAAAAATCCTTTGCTGACATAACTTTTTCAGTGCTGTGAATTGAATAACCTACACCAACAAACTGCTTTTAGGCTTCTTGTCAACACTGCTCTCTTGAGCAGTGGTGGGGCGTTTTGCTGGGATTATGGACTTAAATGACAGTTCACCTCATAACAGAGTTGTAGAACTCACCCATCAAACATGTTTTCTTCTGATGGATTAACCATCAAATATATACCACACTGTAAGGAAATGCAATCTTAAATCACATGCCCTCCAGCCAGACTCAGGCTTTGTGCTGTCACAGTGGAACAATGCCTAGGAAATGATCCACTTCTTGAAGTAAAAGTAACTCCCAAGAATCATCTCTGAATTACCCAAACTTCAGCAAATAACTGCTGCTTGTATTCTGAAGATCAATAATCACCATTGTAATAGAAAGTTAGTTGTTTATATTCTGTGCATAATGAATAAAGTACTCATATGACAAATTTAGGTGATATTCCTCCAACACAGATTTCTTGGAGTATTTAACTGGTCATGACCTCTAAGTTTTCACCAATAGCATTTATACTAATCTGATCCCTCAGTCCTCAGTAGTATCTTTCTATTAAACATTCCTAGTATGTAAAACATATCCAAGAGCTCAAAGAATTTTTGCTCCAGGTCATATTTGCTCCCAAATATATACTGATCAGGTGAAAACATATTAGAGAATATAATTCTCTGGATTAAATATTTTAAAATAAGTAACCAAAATGTTTTCAAGAATCATTGGTAAGGGAAGAACAGAAGTTGAAAGAGAGGCAATGCAAATATCTGTATTAACCCAATGGCAAAGTTAAATATAGAAATACTGAGCAAAATAGCTCAAAATCAGAGTTCTCAGGAGATCACGACCTTTGCCTTCTGTGATTTCTCAAAATAATAAGTCTTTAATGGAATTATCACAGAAGACATTAATTTGCCCCACTGGCTCACAGAGCCACAGCATTAAACACAGCAATGACATTGGCAGGGCCCCAACCTGAGTGATCTGCTCTTCCAAATGGCAGCAGTGATGATTCACTGTGTGCTCAGAGCCAGTTTATGCCTTGTATACCTGCAAAAATCAACCACAGGCCCTTGGGAGCAACTTGGTCTTTTTATTTCTATTACTTTAAAGACTCTCTTCACATAATTCATTCAGGCACCTCAATGCTGTGGCTGCCCTTACTCGAGTTTAGATTTTCTCTAAAGAATTACAAAGAAATAATAGATATTACAGGGAAGTTTTATCATTTTTTCTTAGGAAAAAACCTCCTTGCTAGCTCTTACAGGGATAACATCAGCACAGCCACCATGTAAGACCGAGATCTCCTCCAGTGTCTGACCAGGGCATCCTGTAGGAATGCCTCAGGAGGAACCTCCTGTGGCTTTTGCCACCTGGCTCATTTATCCTGCAGTGGAGCTCCATGCACCTGCCTCACACTGCAGGGAGTCTGGGACTGGAAGCCTATTAAAACGACAGAGAAATATCTTCTCTGTTTATTCACCTTGTTTATTCACCCAAAGGTACACAGCAAAAGACCAAACCCACACAAGTTTGCATGCAGAATGTGCTAAACTAGACCTTTCTTTGCATTCTTTGACAATATGCAGTGTCTGTGCTAAAGCCTCTGTGAAGATGCCAACTATTTTGCTGTAACATGCTCCTGGTGCTCCTTTGAGATGTTCTTCATTTGTCTTCTTTCCTGGGACAGGATGTCTCATATTTTTGCATCTCCTCTGCTCATAGACTCCAGTTTAAGCTTCAGAAGCCTTGCTAGCCTGGTCAGACCCAGTTCCCCAGGCATCTAAGCATGCTTATGATGTGATCAATTCATTGCCATGCCTTGTTTTCTCCTTCCTAGCCTTTCCTTATTTATCTCTATAAAGCTGAACAGGATAACATCATGTTGGTAAAGTGAGATGCATATGATATTTACTACAAAAATTTAAAGCCCCAAACCTGTGGACATTTCCATTTCCTCACTCATAAATGGAATTTAAAAGGTCACTAGACGAAAACAGTTTTTGTAAAAAAAGTGACAAATGAAATGACAGGACCTTATAAGGTAAAATGACAGCTATGAAAGGAAAGCTCAAAAAGGAACCAAGAGGGTTCAGAAAAGCAATCCTTCTTTGAAGAAGAAGCTGAAAGAGGGACAACTTTTTAGGAATGAGCAGAAAGAATGATTTCCCAGATACAAAAGAAGTGATGTTATCTCTTCCACACTTTAAATCACAGGGAGAGAAAAAGAAGCTTTCAGTACTCTTGGGAGGTCTGGCAGATTTACATTTTTGGTTTAGATGAGATTTTAACTTCCCAGTAACACACTGATATTGGATAGACTACAACCACACAGAACTATTTTGCTTCCTCCAATATTAAATGCCACGTGAGAATGGAAAGTAATCATAAAGGTAGAATTTAGTTGCCTAAAACATTCACACCAGATGATCACATTTAAATGTACTCCAGCTTGTTTCTTTTCATCTTTGGAGGCAATATGTATTGCACAAGATAGAAACACAGTGTAATTAAATACAAATATATTTTAGCTTCTAAAAATAGATATTCCTCATATTTCTCATCATCCTCTGTATTGTTTCTCAGTTATTTCTCTGACTCTAAACACGCTGCCTGGTGGCTACAAACCCTTGTGCTGTTTGGATATTTCTGTAGTAATAAGAAATTGAGCCATCACAGACAGGATATGCTGAATCTGGCCTGTGTGGAAAGAACACGGAAATACAACAGAAATCAGTTAAAGCATATGTATTTCACAACATCTGAAGATGTTCAGAAAACAAATATAGCTGGTTTTTAGGTCTATATATACTGGGAACATCAGTTTAGTAACCTGAAATGGCTTAGAGGAACTTACTCAAGGAGTTAAAGACAGTTCAAATGGTTATTCCTATGAACACAGCTCTTAGGCAGGTGTGTAGTCCAGCTAAGGTTTACCCTTGGATTATTACACTGTAGGATGTGTGAAGACAACAACTTACAGTGACGTTGGTAATTCAAATTCCTGTCTATGTTTTGCCTCACAAACATAAAGTGATGCCACAAATTTTTATTTCCCGATTTGCATCCAGTCAGAGATTATCCTGGAAGTTCCAGTAAGAGGCTTGAAACCAACCCCAGCTAAGGGATCTTTTATGTTTTCAGCTTTTCAAATACGTTTCTTAAATAATTTTTTCCAGTCACACTGCACAAAGGACTCTAATATTCTTCTGCAACAAAACTAACCTGTTTAAACATAATAGATTTCAAAGATAATGGTGTCTATGTTAGAACTCTTTTTAAACACTCTTATGGAGAGTAAACAAGATCTTGTAGAATATACATATTCTGATTTATTTCTATTATAGTTCCTTATTACTCCAATATATGCCAGAGCTAGTATTATTTGAAACCAACAGAAAAACATCCACTATGAGATGGGCTTTATACACTGATTTTCCCTAGTTCACTGCTTGATATTATTAATACAGAAGTACATATTTCCTTTATGTCTTTCACCAAACTTTTAACTGGAAGGAATATGTAGATATACACACTAAAAGAGGATATTTCCCATCTCTTTAAGAACTCATGTCCGTACTTAGTCACCTAAAAAATTGGTAGACTTCAACAAGCTCCCCAAGACAGTTTTAAAGCTCTGAGTATCTTCAAATGTGATTTGGCAGTGTCTCAGAAAACAAGAGAATCAGTTCAACCACAGAAGTTGTTTCCATTTATTTTCTCCTTTTTTTTCCAAAACAGCTTCCACATTGATAGCCCTTTTCCTACTCAGTCCTTGTATCTGTATGAAGAACTAGGGGACAAGATAAGACTATGGACTTCATTTGAGTGTATCATAAGGCTTCTGTGTTTAATTTATTTTGATAATTTTGACAAGATACAAGATACCACATGAGTAGATTCATGGAACCATAATAACTCCTGGAGATTATCACTGTAAGTACACAAATTTTACATGCTGTACAACTGCCCATGGAATGAAGTTAAGGAACGAGACTGAACTTTTAAATTATTTATAAAAACTCTCACTATCTTATGCCCAAGTGATTAATTCCATCAGTGAACCAGAGATGTATATGCCAGCTTAATCAAAATCTGCTCAGATCAGGGGAAGAGGTTGAATCAGTTGCAATCCCCTTGATATCCTACACCTTTGGCCCAAGAAGTATCTTGCAGAAGATACAAAAGATAAATATATACTTGCTGTGTTGTCATCCTTTTTCCTGGGATCCCTGCAGTATTTCAGACAGAAAAGTGGGCTGACTGGACTTCTGATCTCACAGCTGATATTATAATTAATACAGGAGGTGGCACAAGCAGTCAGCACAAGTTAAAGAAGTGGGGACACTTTTCACAGATTTCCTACAATGAGAATCCCAGAAAAAAATGGGTCCTGTGGCATTGCCACTTTTCTGCT